GGGCATCCTGCACCAGTTCTTTACCAAACTAGGTCAGTAAGTGATTTGTGGTGGAACAATGACAAATCTTGTTCACAGATTATAAGAAAATGTATGTGACTGACTTCACATGGTCAGCAATGCTTTGTCTTTATTTACCTTTTATGTTCTAATGTGTTCTAGGAATTACAAAACTACGCTTTAAACCAGCATACAACCCTTACACAGAACCCAGTATGGAAGTGTTCAGCTATCATGAAGGTAAACCATTATTATCAACCTTTCTTTGTACTCACACTCCACAAAAATAACACAGAATTCTCCACTTTTCTTTAGGTCTGAAAAAGTGGGTGGAGGTGGGTAACTCCGGTGTTTTCAGACCAGAGATGCTGCTGCCCATGGGCCTGCCAGAGGATGTGTCTGTGATCGCCTGGGGCCTGTCTTTGGAAAGGTGAATTTTCCACTCTCACGAGTACAGATGGCACTAGTCTGACCTCCATTTATTCCTCTCCACGTGAGGTTTTCAAAATGGAGCACAGCAACTTTACCTTTTAAAATAATCCCACATTTTCTATTAAGGATTATGATTCCAATTTGTTTTTTGCATGGATTGTTACCAACTCTAGCAGTCTGGACAAACAAGGGCAAATCCTGGCCAAATTTTACGCATTGCCATTGTTTTGTATTCATTCAAAGTAGCATATTGGTATATAGCATTTGGATTAAAAATATATATATATATATATAACTTAGAAGGATATTTTGCAAATGCGTTTGAGAGCTAGAAAGTGTTCTAATATCTTATAAATAATATCTTATAATATCTAATAATATCACATCTTTTAAAATTGAGTAGCCCAGCTTTAAAGGGGACATTATATATTATCATTTTAACCATTTTACTGAGTTTCCCTCATCATTAGTTTACTCCGTTATATTTTGATAGATTTATGCATGTTTGAGCAATCCTGTATGTTATTTGAGGCTCGAGTCTTTACTCAATACTTTAGTTTAATACCAAGTACCCAAAATATCATTACGTCTGCACATTGCTTTACCCTATATAATATTTCCCATGTTGCCTAGACTCTAGTAAATGAAGTCTCCATGGTGTATGTATTTGCAAATCTAAATATAGAAAGACTGTTTAAAAGTCGAAAGAGTTAAGGCTTGAGTAAACACACACTTGTCATGGCTAATAAGTCCATGTCAAATCAACTGAGAAAAGCTCTATAATCCGTGCTGTGTAATCCTCTGTGCAGCCAGGCTTTTGGTTTGGGCTCTGACCTGTAGCTGCATACACTGACACTGACTTTGTTATGGCTGCGGTTGTAGAGTGGCAGCAGCCTCTCACCTGAGACGTCTTCTTGTTGTACAGGCCAACCATGATCAAGTACGGCATCAACAACATCCGAGAGCTGGTGGGACATAAGGTCAACCTGCAGATGGTCTACGACAGCCCTATTTGCAGGCTGGACTCGTGATTGTGACCCTGTTCTTAACCTTCATATGTGGGACCTTCAAAGTTATAGCGCAACAAGCTGCATTGGAGAACAGTTATTGATTTTTATACAATACTGCCTCTATGTGAAAACAACTAAATGTACAGAAAAACAGATGCTTTTGGAATAACACAAATATTAAATAAGTTGTTTTTGAATTAACAAATGTGCTTCTTTGTTTATTTGCTCATTAGTTTTCTCGTGAACGTACTATTAAGAAGTCATTCTTTATGGTTTGTTTACTAATATGGGCATAATCCTACAGGCATAACATTCATTCACTTGGTGTATAGCTGAAAAAAATAGACCGAGCAACATATTGGTTCATCTGCACTTTGTAACTTTTCTGATGGAGGAACTATGTGTTTGTCTCCGTGGAGATGCTACTTTGCCTGATTGTATTTATTTAGTTTCAACTTCTCAATGATTTAATATATAACCCTCACATTCAAAATACTCTTGTTACTCAAGCCAGGTCACCAACGTTCAGGGTCTTAACCAATGGAACCCAGTACTAAACCTTTGCTGGCAGTGCTTACTGACAACAAACCTGGCAGTCAGCCTATCCAAAAAAGCTCTCCATTGTTTCCTATGAGAGCAAAAAGCAGCTTTTCATTTTCATTTTTTCAGAAACAGCGTAAATGTAGTAAGACAAACTTGAAAAGACACAAGACAATAATCTAACCTCAAAGTCCATGGACAAATATCATACTTCTCAGAATAGTTAACTTTACCCACCTGCTAAGCGGTGTTACCTGGTGCTGTGGCGTGGGGGAATCCCTTTGCCACCTGAGATAAAGATGGGCAGGATTATGGACATGGAGGCAGGAACTCCGTAAGTCTTTCTTTGTAAGCCTAAGAGTCTTGACCTTTCACTTAAGTAGTGAAAGGTTGGATTCTTGTACACTCATAACGACAGTACAATGGAGGAAATTCATTGAAAACATAGGAAAACCCTTTATTTTTTTACCAAAGCAACACAAATACCAAAATGTTGTAAAACACACCATTGCAGAGTACATAAACCTTAGGCACAAAAACAACATGGCCTTCACTTATTCTTCTCTGATCTTGCCACTCACGGCAGAGGGGAAAATCCCCAGCAGTTTGAAACATTTCACATACACTAAACCTGATGGCAACATGGACTCACAGGGAGTACATTTTTTATTTTGCTGAGGCTGCCCTGGGCACACTGACAGAAACATGGCAGCAATTCTGTGCCTGTGTCTTCCCCAACTTCCACCAAGTACATTCAAACATGCAGGCTGGGAGAAATGTCTTGCTCAACAACCCGAGGCTGTAATTGTATTTGCAAAATGCCCACATAGTTTGCATAGTCCTGGTCATAGTGATAGTATAAAAATGTAGCATATTATCTGTAGTGTCCCTTGTGGCCCTTCACTTGACTTGGATCATAAATCTCGGGGTATGCTGACCTCCTTGTCGGCGGGGCTGCACGTCAGAGCCAAAGAGCTGGTGGGGCTGTGAGAGTGTGGGAAGAAGTGAGGTATGTAGGGTATGGCTGCCAGCAGCAAAGGACTGATCTGAGGACTCTCCTCTGGGGGCAGAGGCACCATCACCTCGTCTGGGTCCCACACGTGAAAGGCGTTGTGTGCAAATGGGTGCGCGGGTGGGTTCCTGGATGGGTGGTGGCATGGGTGTATGTCTTTTTCTTTGTCTTCATCTCCATGTGGACCCAGAACACATTCTGTGAAGGGAGAGGGCAGATTAAAAGAATCAGTGTGTAGGTCTGATAGTGCTGGGTGATTAAACGTGGACTGGATGATTGGATTGGCACATTTTCAGTTGTACTTGTAATTCCTTGAGTGGCTTCCTCCAGTTCATTAAGATGTATCAGGTTTACTTTGTTTTTGATAGACTATTGTCTTGTATCTGAGACAGTCAATCTATCATTTCCTGAGAACTGTGTGTAGCTTATCAAATGTATAGTTTATGTGCCTTCATTGGTGCCCAAATGAATAAATAGTGAGTTATAAAATGTAAACGTTAAAGGGGAAAATGGTCAAAGTGCATTGAATACACAGGCTATAAAACTCCATTACCTACTGTAAACAGGTTTAAAGTAACATTCCTTTATCGATTTGCTAAATAATTATACATCACATCATCACACAAACATACATCATTATACATCACATGGCCTACCTGCTATGTCAATGGCCAAGTCTTTGATAAGATGTCCAACAATAGCATAAGCGACTCCGACCACTACGAGCGCAGCCATGAGCAGGTAGAGCACCGCTTTGGGCAGTGGGACGAGGTCCTTTGCCACAGGCTTGTACTGTTTGTACAGCGGCTCATCCAGGACGAACGCGTGCGCTCCTCCCGTGGCGTTCAACGACGACATATTATAAACATAACTCATGGCAGCTCCGTGTGCCCCGTGTCCACTGCTCACACTTTATTGAAAACTATTTAACAAATGGCAGATTCCAAATAGCCTTTCTTTCTTGCATGCCGTTGTTGGGTTAATCCTCTCATTAAAAAAAAAAAAAAAAAAAAAGTTTATCTTAAAAATAGAAAAAAAAACAAGATCTATCCCTTTGTGACTCCAGTGTCCGCTCACCGTGAACTTTCTTTGAAGTTTGGTCGTGATGCGCGCGTTCTGTCCAAGGTGCTGAAGAGCGCGCGCTAAGCTGATTATTAGGTCCCGCCCACATGAACAACTTCACGATCGGAGTCAGACCAATGATTTACCCATTATTTGTTCCTGTCATCTAATGTTATTTATCTATTTCAATACACTTTTTGCAATCCAAATATATATATTTTAAATATTGTATAACATTTGGGTGTCGTATGCCTACATGGAAAAGCCATCCTAGTCACATTATATGCTTTATAATTTGATAATTTGGAAAAACTACAGTATTTTATGTGTCTAAGTTAGTACCAAGTCTGCCTGGTGTGAAACATCCTTCCATTTGATTGAAGCCAGAATTATAGCCCCCTTTCTAGAACTTGAAAAAGACCAGGTTTGAGCTGGAGTAAGTTACATCACAAGAGTGATATCCAAAAGATGAAAAGCAGATGGTCAAAAAATACAGCAGCAATTTCCTTATGTAAGATAAGCACATGTAAAAGGCCATGTCATCAGATTTGTCAATTCTGTAATTCTATCCACTTCAAACATGTCTGTCATTATAGACCAGACCTAAATCAGAGAAAGATAAATGTGACGGCCAACTGGAAGGCTAAGCAAAAATAACTGTAACTGTAATTACAGTGTAATATAATAAAATTATTCCTATTGATACAACTGTAATGTGTTTGCTGCCATGTCTAACTCTATCACAAACACTTTGAAGTATTAAAACAAAGGCACAATCTCTTTAGCTTTAATATTAGTTACAAGAAAGGTGCTACCATTCTTTCTCCTTTGTATATCTTTAAGTGCTCTTGCATAACTAAATGCATTATCAGTACAATTAACTGAAATCAAAATTTAAACAGAAAGGATATGGATCAGAAGATTAGAAGGAGGGGGAATCATAATTAGTGTTTATTCAACTTGTATTTATTTAAACTTGACACAGCAATTAAATATGTTAACTTAGTTTGTTGAAATGATCCACAGCATACAGTAACATTGTCTACAATGAGATGACCTTTCTTTAATACAGTTATTACAGTTAATATTTATTAGTGTCTAATCTTGCTAATGATTATGTTTAAAAAAAAACATGTTACAGTTTGTTGCATTGAATAACAACACTTGATACTGTATTGAGCCACAAGTATCCAGCCCAGTTCTGAATGCTTAATAGAAAAGTAAAGTTCTTAGGACTTATTCTTTCCCATATATGAAATGGGAAAACCAAAACCGCTCTCATAATGCTGTTTCTATACAAGTACATTACACTCTATTGACAGACAGTAGAAAAATAGCCCTCTTTGTATTATATTGCAAAGTCTACATGTAATTACACTTCAATATTTGATCACAGCAGTACTTGCTCCTGGATCTACTTCTCCACGGTGAAGGCCTGCAAACCGGTGATGGCTCTGCCCAGGATTAGAGCGTGGATATCATGAGTACCTGTGGTAGGAGAGGAGCGAGATTAAAATCATATGAACAGGTGCATTAAGGACACAGCTGGCTATTGGATTACTCTGCTTCCATTTAGATTAAATAAATAGAATAATGCTTAAATCTGATCTGTTGGTAAGGTTAGGTGTTGTGTAGAAAGTAGTTAACCTTCATAAGTGTTGACGGCCTCCAGATTCATAACATGGCGGATGATGTGGTATTCGTCTGCGATGCCATTTCCTCCCAGCATGTCTCGAGCCTGACGGGCGATGTCTAAAGCTTTACCACAGCTGTTTCTCTTCAACATGGAAATCATTTCAGGAGATGACCTAAACATGAGGAAGAAAAAAACGATTCACTTGTTCCCTGAGGTTGACCGAGATATGCAGACATGTGTCAATATACAATGTTCTAACTTCCCTCCCACCAAATGACTTCCTTGTTCTCAAGCAACTCTAGCATCATTCTGCCCACATGTTTAAGGCCTTGCATTTAAATTGTCTCAATCTGGTATCTGAGTTTACCTTATAATAACAATAAGAAGGATTTGTATTGACAAAGTTACTTTTTAGCATCGATGAGTCGCCCCAGCTGGAGACAGGACTGTAGGCCAATAGAGATCTCTGTAAGCATGTCGGCCATCTTTTTCTGCATTAACTGATTCCTCGCCAATGGCACGCCAAACTGAATTCTGTTGAAAGAATAATCAAATATAAGAGTAGATTATTACCAAAAAGTATAAATGTGTTTAACTGTTACAAAAAGAAAATAAATCTGACCTGTCGAGTGTGTACTGGCGAGCTGCATGGAAGCAAAATTCTGCCGCTCCGAGGGCACCCCATGCAATTCCATATCGAGCATTGTTCAGACAGCCAAATGGACCCTGACCAAAAGATCAACTTGAATTATATTAAACAGAACAGTGATTTTCTTTTAAAAAATAGCTTGTGTTGCAGTCTTACCCCCAGACCTGAGGTGTTTGGAAGCAGGTTTTCCTCAGGCACCTCTACCTCGTCCATGAGGATCATCCCAGTGGCTGAAGCTCTAAGGGAAAACTTCCCTTCGATCTTTGGAGTGGACAAGCCCTTCATCCCTCTCTCCAAAATGAACCCTCGCACCTTTCCATCTTCACACTTGGCCCAGACTACTGCAATATCGGCCACGGGGGAGTTGGTAATCCTGAAGTTTATAAACACATACTGAGCTCATCATTCACTGTGACCATTTCAGTGGGTAATCCTGTTTCTGATGTGAACAGCTCCATCCTGTGGACTGTTAAAGCCATAGCAATCATATTTTACAGGTTAATATGAAAGACTGGTTCATAGCAGGATTATATCCTGTAACACCTGTCAACATTTTGTGCTGACCAAAAGGTACAGTCAAGCTGCGAATAAATGAAAACATGTAAACAGTGCTATTGAGACTACTGAATAAAACTCACTGTACACTAAGACAACAAACAAAGCAAAGCTGCCCTTAATATCCTTTTATTAGAATTTTGATTTAAAACTGAAAAAAATTTTATGCAAGGAGGTCGAAAGCAAAGACTGCTAGATCTGAACCCCGGTAGTCAGTGAAACAGGCCTACTTTGTACCCACCAGGTCTTGGATCCGGTAAGAGAGTAGGTACGGCTGGATGGGTTGTATTTTGCTTTGGTTTCCATGCTGCTGGGATCACTGCCATGGTTAGGCTCTGTCAGACCAAAACAGCCCAGAATCTCCCCAGTAGCTGGTGGCAACACGGAGAAATGTCAATACTGATAAAATGTGCAATTGGGTTGAAGTATTGTTTAATTATTTTACCCAGTTTGGGCAAGTACTTCTGTCTCTGCTCCTCTGTGCCATAGGCGTAAATGGGGTACATGACGAGGGAGGACTGGACACTCATAACTGATCGATAGCCGCTGTCTACTCTCTCCACTTCTCTGGCTATCAGACCATAACCGACATAACTGGTGCCAGCACATCCATAACCTTTCAGCAGCCACAGAGATACAAAAAAATCAAACTTTGTAAAACATGTCACAGACTGAGATGGGCCTATCTGGGCAAAATAACTCCTAAGTAAATATTTGCTTTAACTGACCTTTAATAGTTGGACCGAGGACACCAATCTCTCCCATTTCTGACACAATCTCCCTGTGAAACACTGAAAAAGATCAATTAGAATGTATTAATCCAACAGCTCTCTTTTGTCATTCTCCCTATATTGCTCTCTTTATGAATAACAATGGGAGGAAGAATGATATTGGCAAAAATTTTAACCAGTCAGAAGATATTTTGGCAATCCAACAGTGCTTTTAAATGTTAGTCGAGGTTTTCCAAAACCTCCAATCTCCAAAACAAAAATCAAGAGTATGCATCTGCCGCTCAATATAATCACCTTGTAACCAATGGCAACAACACAACCCCATAGCTAATGATTGGGTTATTGATATTGGTTGCTAATGGAATTATTTCCCCCCATACAAGAACATGCATATTTTTTGACTTCATATGGCAAAACAGAGAATGCTGACAAACAGTACCTTCATTTCTGTTTGCCATTAAGATGCGGGGCATGAGTTTCTCTTGGCAATATGTGCGGAAAGAATCTCGGATCATAATCTCCTCTTCAGTCAGCTGACCATCCAGGTCAAGAGGATCTTGCCAGTTAAAATGGACTTTGGCTGTTGGATAGGAAGTATTTTATTAAACATGGACACAATCTGGTGACGGATAGTTTACGCAACAATAAATAGAAGAAGGAAGAACATACGTGTTTTGGACTTGGTTTTCTGAGACTCTGTGGACAAAGAGGGACAATGATCGATGTAGACTGTAAACTAAATGTTCTTTCATGAAATATCAATAGCCCCTCCGCATGCCCAGAGCATTAGGCTATGCTATTACACTCACCTTGCACAGCAGGTGCAGCTGTCCCCTGTGCTCTGGATGCTGACACAATAGCACATCTTTGAGGATTCAGCAGGAGCCGACAGACACGTCTCAGTGCCATGATAAGTTTGACTAAAAGCACACACGACGTAATGGTTAATGGGAGTACAGTAATGTGCAGCAAAAAACACAGATTTTCCTGACCTATGATTCTTTCTATAAATACAGTTAGTAATTGAAATAATATGTCTGGCCCAGTACAGGATGAATAGGCACACATGAGGACAACAACATGCTGACAGCAAACAGATCTGACTACTCTCACTGTAAACACTGCACTCAAGCCAAGCTAAGCTAACGCGGCTAACTTGTGTAACAGTAGCTTTTAGCACGATGTTAGCTCGCTCCAGTCCATTTATAAACACTACTTCATCCAATAAAGGAACATGCCAAAACACAGAACAGAGCAAGTCCGACTGACAGCTGTTAAACGTATGTACTTAATGCGTAATGTCTCACAAGTCCTTGTCCAGAGTCGCTTCTGTGTCTCAGGTGACGGGGCAGCAGCGCGTGTGAGGCAAGGGACGTCAAAACACCGGTCTACGTCATCACGCACACTCGGTCCTAGTGCGCTGCGCTCATGGATCTATAATAAAACCTTTTTATTTTATTTATTTATATTTATTTATTTATATTTTAATTTTGTTATAGTTCTGTGGCTGCTCTGGACGTTGTAATCTTTGTGTATATTGTTTATCTGTTTTCTTGTATGTTTATAGTAATTTGTATGTGTATGTGCAATAAATGTAATGGGGGGAAAAAGCTGCGCTGCGATCCATGCACACAGCACTCTGTCACTTTCTGATACACCATGAACAAAAGTATTTGAGTCTAAGCAAACTGAAAACAAGCAATCTATCTTTTTCTATCACGTGTGTGTCCATGATCCGATGGTACCTGATCGTGTAGACTGGGATTAGAGATCCACAGAGGGGAAACCATTGGGGAAACCTATAGCCTTGGATCTCATATGACCTTTATCTTATTATACTTTCAAGATAGACCCACGGGGAGACGGAGCTAGATTTAGTTGTCTCACAGGTTATATTACATTGCTTTTTATAGTCACAACAGGGGGCGCTGTCACACAAAAACGGGCCTGACTTGATGTGGACTATTTAGGCTGTTTGTCTATAAAAGGTTATTTATTTGAGAATGAAAAATCAAATATCAAGTAAAAAGCTACAACTCGGCTGAGTTGTAGCGGGGATTTTAATTCAGCCATAGCTTTTCAAGAAAACATAAGGACAACAAACCCCACATGACAATTTACCCTGACATAGGCCAAGTTGTTATCACAGTCAGTTTTGCTGTCTTTAATGTTTTATAACGTTGATGCGCCGGATACGCCATTGTGGTTTGTTATGACATTGTTTTTATAGACATCACATGCTCATTAGATCTAGCCTACAGTAAACCTATTTGGCTAAATTATTTTGAATGTGGATTAATTCACTAACAGCACAGACCTTTATGTGGTGTAATAGCTACCACATATTGGTCTGTGCTACACCGTAATTGCAACAAAGTTAACGGTACTAAAGGCTGACTCCCACTCAGAGACATACGTCCAACCTTCAGTCCGCCATTGGCTTAGCCTTCTGTCTGTCAAACCTTTTTGCGCACTGATTGGCCCCACGTCTCCTCGAAGTTATCTCTCTTTATGTTACCAGGGCAGTCTAAGATTTTGGAGCGACTTCTGTAAAGTGTTCAAAGTGGGAGACAGAGACGCTTCATCGACACTGTGTGGGGAGAAATGGTGAACAGACACTACATATGAGCAGTTTTGGAGAAGAAGGAGCATTCCCTAACCATGGAGCTAGAGGAGAAACCGAAATATGGTAATTATTTAAACCCCCACAGCATGCGCCTGTTCATTTGTCCTGGGATAGAAACACTCTATGCGACTGACCATTTGGGCTACTGCGTTTTTACGATATTTATTCCGAAAGAATTGGGTTCAAGAGTTATAGACTTGACAATAATAGAAACACATACGTAAAACACATTTCTCCATATTTTTGTTCACTGTTTACCGTGCTCTGCAAACGGATCACTTTCTCTTAAGAGCCAGTGTTTATAGTTTGCACGCTACCTCTGGGGGTTCACTTCCGTGGGAACAAACAATGTGGCCACATATTTTGGCTGGAAGCTGTGCTAAAGCAGTTTGTGAGCGTGAATACAAAGTAAATGACCCTGTTATTGTCCCGGGGTACAATGTCCTATGTGCGCCGCTTGTCCAGTTGCTGCCACATTCCTCAGTGTGGTATGGAGGAGAAGGCAACAGGAGCTCACCTCCCAGCTGCTATGTTTAGGGCACATCTTATTAACATGCCACCAGGTTTATATTGTTCCCTACATAGCCTGGATGGATCCCGCTTTTTTATTTAACCAAGTCTATTTTAGGCTTCACATCAAAGTCCTACTACTTCGAGGAAAACAAAACAAAAAAAAAAAAAAAAAAAACATGACAGAATTTGTTTTTTTTTTGTTCAGCACAGACTGATTACCACAATGCCTCAGCCCTTAATGACTAATGTCTTTGTCAAGGGTGTCAGTGCATTGCAGTAGAAACTGGAAAATAGAAGAATCATTTATTAGGAAGCGTGGGATTTCCAGATACATTTAAAAAAAATAAGTTTCACAATAAATAGTTTAAAGTTTTAGTTTTGGATCTGGTTATTACTCATTTTCTTGTCTCCAAACCATGTCAGATGAGACCGAATGGTGGCCCATGTTGAAGTGATTCACCACCAGATCCCTAAATGACAGGACAGAGGGAGTATAAGTATAAAGTATAGCCAGGCAGGGCACATGTAATTAGAAGCTGTATTTAGAAGAGTGCATGGTTTGAAACTCAACTCTCTTCAGTCTTGCGTTTTTTTCTTATTCTATAGACAGCATATTTTTTCTCCACCTGTTTTCACTTAAACGAGCCCGGTGGTATAAAAACAAGACCATGTGACTTAGCTAACTGTCAAGTGTGTGCCAGTGTCTCTGAGTGCAGATAGTGTGTGTGTGGTGAGGCTAATAAGCAAAGGGGAAATGTGGTTCTGACAGGAGAAGATATGCAGAGAGCTTCGATTGTCAAAGCAGCAGCCTCAGAATCTTCAGCGTCATGCTCTGTTAGCTACACACAGAGAAAATTAATGATCCGAAGGACAAGAGGCTGACAAGGAATCTCACAAACTGAAGGTTGGCTACAAAAAAACAGAGGTTCAGAGATTCTTCAACACGGCGCTCACAGTTCAGTTTGCTGCAACATGTAAATTCACTTCACTATTATATTGACATACACTATCAGCCAAAAGTTTGGACACACTTTCTCACTTATTTTTCTTATTTTTTCTGTGATTATTTGCTTTGTTGATTCTTACTGAAGGCATTTTTTTTTTAAAACAGTTACCCTTTACTTTGACCAGAAATTAGCAGTTTTGGTATTTGGTTCTAGTTTCTCAGCACCATTTCATATTGTTAGTTTGCACCATTTCATATTGTTAGTTTGACCAGTGTAGTCTTGGTGAGAATACCGACTCAAACATCCCCCTGGCTTGAAAGTCCCAGCTTGAAAGTCCCATTCTCTCGGCTTGAATGTCCCCCCTCCTCCTTCTGAGTGCTTGCCAGCCTTTGGTCAGCCTCGTCACACACTGAAAGGAAATGTGAATGTAGCAAGACCAAATGTCAGGCCTTGTTAATGTCATTTTACTGATTTTTCCAAAGCGGCACACATTTTTTCAGTCTGTAATATCAATATGATGCTCATTTGTTCATAGAAGTTTACTATGAAATTGTATTTTAAATAATCTTTTCTTGTTCCCCATGCCCTATAGCATCTGTAACTGTTGTTTTGGGAAGAAATATTAATTATTTCCTTGCCTGCCATGAACATAATTTGTAAGCAGTGCAATGCAAGAAACTTAGAAAGCTACAGAATTTGTTCAACAATCATTCAGAATCACTTTTTGGAAGGTCTATGTATTTCATTGAAATATGTAAGATAAAATAGTTGCGACACAGTTGTGACTACATCATTTTTGCATGTGTTTTTTTCTTTTTGTTTTTGTATGTATGAACAAAAGGGAACAATTCACAGGGACTTTCCAGCTGGTTCCCCTTGGTTGGTGATATTTAAAAGTAACTGATATCAAAATGAAAAAGATTCTCATTTGATACTCAAGTGTTGTTGTCCCTTTTCCCCTAAATCATCAGAAACAATGTTGTGTTCCTGCAGATAAAATTACCTTCTTTTAACAGACCATCATTAATTATAATGTTTCAGCAGTTTTATCAAGAAAAATAGCAAGATTTAGACTACATTATGTTCTTCACTAAAAACAAGACTACTCATAACACATTTGTAACATCATTTATTTATGGGAACTTGTGGCTGCCTAATAATAGTCGATGAGCATCTAATCATCTCCAGGAACTGAAAAGAGAGATTTGTCACCAGTGTATTACACAGGCTAATTTGATGTCATCTTCTTTTATGACAGTGTTTTGTTTTTTTTTCTTTTTAAGAAATTTAGAAATGTCTTTTTAATTATAAACTTAGCATTGACTCAACCCATTTAACAGCCTTGTGTGTAATTTGTATGCTCTATGAAAAAAGTATAGACTATCTGTTATCATATCAGAGCTGATGTGGCTTCAAGATATGAGATTTGTGTAGTCAGTTTGATTCACCCTACTCCGTGCTAGTGTTGTCACACTATTTTATTTTGATACTAATGAATAGACTCCATACTTAATACCCATTCTAATAACACAATGATAATAAAAACACTCTTTTTTTAGAAAGTAGGACTGGGTATCTTATCTCATATCTCGATACTGTGCACTTTCATTTCGATATGATATATTTCAAATTGATTTAATATTGTTAATAAAAAAGAAAGGCTAAATGATGGCTGTGATACTAAAAGTCTTTGTTACACCACTTCTTGTGCAAAGTGAATATGAAACACACATTTTAATCATCAAAAATTGTGAAAATGTCAAATGTGTTGCATAAACGAGTCTCCTTCCACTAAACAAGCAACAAAACTGTAGCACTGTAACAAAATAACTTAGTAAAATATACCAAAAAATACTCTTGATGATACATCGATACAGTGGTTCACGATATCGATATTGTAACATCACATTAAACGATACAATATATCGATATTTCAATATTTTTGCACCCCCGTGTTAGTCAGTAGAATGTAACTTTCAACATTAAATGATCGTAGTTTCTTTTATATTGTCTTACATCTGTATAATCCTTCCATGGTCCAAGTATAGGATCTTACATTAGTTCTGATACAGCTCAAGATCATTCTAAAGATATTCAGGAGAGGTTCATTTCTGTCCTGTTGATGTGAATTTTTTGGTATTGATATTTATTCAAATGAGTATCTAGTTTTGATACTGGTTTTAGAATTAATTAGTATCCAATTTTCGATATTTTTGACAACCCTATGCTAAGGAATGCAGTCTTTTATTACTACAAAACAACTACTTAAAGGTTGTATGGAGGAT